TCTAACCTTCTGCTGCTTAGATGTCAAAGTTGCAGCTAGCTTATAGCTGCCAAATGAATCTGGCATATAATATAGGACCCCCAAGTTCAACCAGCCTAGAAGTAAAACAAGTCCCCAGATGGGGCAGGGATGGGTTAAATTCAAACCCAAGCAGGGACCTCGGCCAATCTTGTTCAATGCAGAAAGCAGACATATCACTGGTCAGGGAGCTGGGGCAGTGTTAAGACCCACACCTACTAGTTGTCTGAGCCCGGGAGTTTCAAACACCCAAAAAAAGGGAGCTTCCATAATAAACCATGGTTGTTGTCTCTTGGATCTCCAAGAGCTCATGTCATTCCTGTCTCAAGCCAATGACCTCATGTAACACTTAGACATCACTGTGGCAGATCCTGCAGGCAAAATATGGCTTCTATAAAGCACAAAGCACAAGTGACTCTGTTTGGCTACTGCCATATTTGGATGAAAAATACTTAATTTACCTTTGGTCATCTTTCAAATGATTTCATATTTTCCCTGAACCACATTCAGTCATCCCATCTGGGAAGCAGGATCTGGATTCTATGCTGGAAATAACAAGCTCAGAAAACTCCATCTGAGAAGTTATCCTACATGAGATTACAAAACTAAACATTTTTGTTTGCTTCATCCAGAACATTTTTAATTCAAATGGATTGCATATACTGGTATATTATGGCCAGAAGCTGACAGTACTCAGCTGAGTATCCCCCTGCCTACAGAAGAGGATCTGCCTGACCAGGGACTGATAGATTCTCCAAGGGAAGAGTTGTCACATTCCTTTTCCAGAAAGCCTAACAGAGGAATAGAGACTAAGCTTGTTAAGACTTTTGAAATTGTATAAATTATTAGCATTATTAATGCATTTACAAATACTGAAATATCCTGACATCTAATCCCTTTCTAGAACATATGCACAGTATGAAATATTTTTTTTCCTTCCAAATAAAATAAAATTAAGAAAAAAAAGTGTCATTAATACCACTGTATTGTCAAATCAGAGAAGCTCTGAGGATAAAATACAGGTTTCCAGGCTGTTCTCTGTAGAGTATTTGTTTCCAGCACAAGCAGCTACACACCCATATGTCTCCTGGTCTCTCAGTCCTCACCTATAAACACAATCTATTTAATCTCCTCCTCCTCCCTTCAGTATCTCTCAGTAATTTCACAGAAGAAGTAATGGGAGTTCCCTGTCCAGAAGCAGTTGTCATTGTCCAGCTCCTTCTCCGGCCCTTGCTGCTGTGTGAGAAGGGACAGGGCAACACCCCCAGAGGGGAAGCAGGAAAGAGACAGCAAAGCTGAGGCAGAAAGGGGCAGAAGTACTTTGTTGTTCTCTTCACCAAGGGAGAAAAGTTGCACCTGCAAATCCTGAGGCAGAAACTTTCCCAGCAGAGTGACTGGACAGTGATGAGTTGTCCAGTTATGTTTCCCCCTCCTGGATGGCATTTTATCGATGGCTGTCCAGCAGTCCTGCATCTCTAGATATAAAAGGGAAGGGCAGTGCACAGAAAGGAGTGTGTGACTGGCATGCTGCTGCAGTGATTAATGTGCTCATCCAAGCTGGTGCCTCACCACCTATCCAATTAATCACTGTCCAGTGTTTTAGAAGCCATTAAATTTTGTACGATTTTACTATAGCATGTTGTTACTGTTAGACAGGTTTTCCTTTGGAGTGTGATGTCACCAGTTCTGAGTTGCATTCCCTCCTCATTTTATTCCTTTGCTAATAAAACATGTATTGTTATGACTACTGCTGTGGCAGGTGGGTAATTTCAGTTCCTTGCTATGACCTCTCTAAGGATGCCTTCTGGCAAACGCAAAATATGTGGAGAACATTTTATCCTTTATTTTGGTTGTAGTTCCTGGGAGTTTTTTGCTCCCACATGAGAGGTCCAGCTCTAACACACTGAAGGCTGTACCCATCCAGTTGTTGCTGGGAGAGAAGGAGCTGGTGACCAGCATCTTGCTCCTGCCAGAGCTATTTTCTTTATGCATGAGAGGAAATGGAGGTCTATGGTCTGATCCTGAAAGAGTCTCAGCATAAGGGAATTCATGTCCATTTCTCTATCTGACTGTGAAGAACATATGATTGAGGTGGACAGAAGGATCCCACAAAGCATTTAAATGTGTGAAAGGCTTATAAGGCACTATAATCTAGAGTTATAACTAAACTTCATAATCTGACCAACTAATTTTCAGCTTTCCAGAGGACTTTACATAGCTTTTCTCTGACTTCACTTTTCCTTTTCTAAGCTTCTGTAGTTGGCAAGCTTCCTACAAAAAAATAAATCTTCAGCTTGATTACTCTTATTAATGATGTCACTCAGGGCATTTTGCAGTCAGAGACTCTTTGTGCTCAGAGAGGTTTTCAGCAGATTTGATAAGAAACGCCAGGAAACAAGTCCTATTTTGAGAAGGAAAATGGTCAGTCATTACTCCTGTAGAAGAGAAACAGAAGGTTACTTATGTAAGTGAAGGTTATGAATAAAATAAGTACAGTACTTTAGCTGAGCAACCTTCTAGAAAAGGAGAAAACAAACAATACAGGGTCATAAAAGCAGGAATTAGGAGAGCAACCAGGTCAAACATCACCTAGTAGAGGTGACAAGGGTCACAAGACAGGAGGCAGTATACTTCATTTGCAGGTGAGATAAAATGGGAAAGATTTCTTCTCCATCCTCACAGAACTCCACCAGTCTCATGTAAACTTTAAATTCTATTACAACTGTAATATGCATGGGTATGCACATAAATGCATAAATACAAATTTATATGGTGAATACAAACACCTTTCTAGCTTGTAATGCACTTTTAAATGGTAATAGTTAGCCAAGCAGGAGAAAAATATCACTAGCACTGTTGTTGATTCATAGTTTCTCTCCCTAACATGAATGATTGAAGGAGTGGGCCAATGAAGCCTAGACCCATGTTCCTAATCTCAAAGCATTCTGAACAGTAACATTTTCACCATCTCTGGCACCAGAGAATTTGTACTTTCAAGCACAAAGAAATAAATTTTAACTGCAGTATCTTGCCCTTGGGGTGCATAATTGACAAAATGAAGTTAGTGCTTTACAAACGTATGTTGTAATTTAGAGTCAAAATGTCAAACAAAATTTCTTATGGCTGAAAGTAAGTCTTTTTTCTCTTGTACTGAAGGTAAAGTTTTCATCATTTTTCTCAAGGATTTAACCTATGTACAAGGCTATCTTCAGTACAGGTAATTGAAACTCATCCCAAAATTTGAACTAGTTGTTACCTAACACTTAGCAAGCTCACCATCAGGCACAGTAAGATTACTGCTCTTTAATAAAAAAAATAGCAAACTATAGATAAAGATAAGAAGAGTTTTGATTTGATCTTCAGATGCCTAGTTGTTGTCATTGTTAAATATCACTAAAAAGATAGCAACTCCCTGATGAGTCATGAGAGATATTTGGTAACAGTAAAAAATAAAAAATTATATTCAGGTAGGAAAAGAGAGATCCAATTCAAAATCCCATGAAATATTTAAATCCAAATGCTCAAAGAGTGTGAATTCAAGGTGAAAGTGGTTCTGAAGAGGATAAACAGAGAGTTTGCCATAAAGAAGCACACACAATATATATGAAAAAAGCCAAACAGCTTCTACTCAAATTTAGCAGCATAAAGTCTGAGTGATGAACCTGATTGATTTCTGTATCTAGTCTAGGAGAGAAAAGGGAGAAGAGCAGGAAGGTGAAGGTCTCAAGAACAAAGGTGAAGGTTTTCTTAAGAGCAAATACAAATGTATTGATTATTAATACTTTTGGGCTGGAATTAAAAGGTTTATGAACATCCAAGTACTGAGTTTATAAACTCACCTTCTAATATGGCCAAGAATAGAAAAAAAACTTACCAGTTTTAATATAGACCCTGAGAAAATAATCAACAAGTTTAATGTTGCCATCCTTCATTTCTCAGGGTCTGGACTAGACAGTGAAGGCCAAATCTTCTGGGTTTGTAAAACCTAAAAGTAACCTTTCTTTTTTCTACACTCCTCCTCCTCAAACTTCTGGCACACAAGGGTTCAAATCAAATCTTTAATTTTAGAGCAATCTTTGTAACACTTCATATTCTTTGTCCAAGTGTGGTTTTCCTACACAGGCCAGTATTTTCAGAGAGAATGCATCAAGTCTCATTTGAAGGCAGCTTAAAGAAGGTACATGGTGGCTGGAACACAGGCTTGCCTTACATTAACCCCCAGTTAAATAGAAACATAGCAGACTTCCCAGTAGGACATGTGACCCCGTGGGAGACCCACACAGATCATGCTGTTGGTGAAGGACTGCACCTCATGGAGGAATGACCCACATTGCAGCTGTTTATGGAGATCTGTTGTCTGTGAGATGGGTTCAGACTGGAGAAGTTCACTAAGAACTGTTCTCATGGGAGGGAAGTCCACTGAAGCAGAGAAAAGACTTTCCCCAAGCAGCAGCAGAAATTGTACGTGATGAATAGACCATAATTCCCATTGCCTTCTGCCCGTACTGCTGGCAGGGGGAAGGTAGAGCTGGAAAGGAGGGAGGGGTGGGGGAAAGATTTTTTAAGATCTGGTTTTACTTCTCATTATCTTGCTCTGATCTTGTAAGCAATAAATCCAGTCAATATCTCAAATTTGAGCTTGTTTTGCCCATGGCGGTATTTGGAGAGTCATCTCTCCTAGTCCTTACTGCAACCCATGAACAATTTGTTATTTTCTCTCTCTCCTGTCCAGCTGTTGAGGAGAGTGATAGATAGGTTCTGGTGGCTGCCTGGGATTCAGCAGTCAGGATCACGCCACTACGCTTTGTCTCTGAAGAAAAGGAAGATAACTGCTATGAAATGTTATGCAACCCATGCAAATGCTGTGTCTGGAAAGAAAGAAGCAGGAAGTCAGTAAAACTGAAATCAAAAGAGATACAGCTGTGGACTCCACTGAAATTAAACTTCTTTTTTTGGATTCATTACTTCATCTGCAACAGCCCTTAGAACCAATGAACTGCCATTTTATTCCAGATACAAGCATCAGCCACCATGAGAGGAGGGCTCTAGCTCTAGTCTCATTTGCCAGCATGAAACTTTCTGGATTAGTCAAATTCGTCTCTGAAGAGAAGAAACCTCCAGGCAGAAAGGAATTTCTGTAGTTCCTATTATTCCAATTTCTGTGCACTTTTAGTAATTAGTGCTTGCATACATCACAGCTTTCCATGAGAAGAAAGGGTACAAGTTTGCCTCTCCTAACACTTTAATTTTTAGACACTTTGGACAGGGAAGCATCTGAGAGAATATGGTCACCACAAGAATACCCCTTCATGGAAAAGAGGTTGGCAGAACATTGCTGGAAACATGACTGGATTATGTACATACCTAAAAATACTTGATACCTCACTGAGACATCCTGGGAAATTTCAGAGTAATTTAGTTTGAAGAAAACATTAAAGGATTGTATACAGAGATACGGATGTCCACAGATACAAATAAAGTTTAAACACCTCCATGTTCTGCCAGCCTAGCTCAGTTGCAGGTGAAAACTAGGGTGACATTACCTTGTTTTAAAAGTACACAGCCAAGATTTGAACATATAGCCAGCCTCTGGTTTGCTTGAGTTGGTGCTTATTCCAATTCTTTTTGAAGTCATTGCAAATCTTTCTGTTGACATGAACAGATGAATCAGACTGCTTGCCACTTAAGTGAATCACAGATGGAAACAATAGCACCTGTATAATTTTTATGACAACCTTTTATAAAATTAGTCCATTCTAGATAGCAGAACACTGATGTGATGTACTGCTGAGGCAGTGCTATTTCTGTCTGAAAGTGGCTGAGCTGGTTTTGTGTATATGAAGTTACATTTACTTGAACTCATTCCTCCAGTGATACCTGTAAGTTCATCAGAGACACAAACTGCAGCATTACAACTTCTATACTAACTGAGGACTTGAGTTTGATTTTCAGCTGAAGCTCCTTGGAAGAGTCAAAAATCTGTATCACGTCTTGGGTCCCTGTAGGACAGAAGCAAAAGTTACAGTAACAGACACAGTCAAACATATGAAGCTTTAAAATATTCCAGCACTTACTGAGAAAATGCAAACTAACTGAAAATATAAATAGGGACTTGGCAGGTTTTTTTATTTCCCCAAAGTACTCTAACATGACACAAGGAACAAGACTGACCGCATGTCCTGACAGCATCTTTGGGTGCTCCTACACCCTACTGTTGGAGTCCATTTCTGGCCACTCTGGTCATGGAGCACCTCAGCAGACAGCACTCCTGAAACTTGACATCATGGTACACCCTATGCCCTGGTAATCGCAATAAGTAAATAATATTGTGATTTCAGAAAGGATGTTGTAATTGTTGATAAAGTAACAATATAATCACAGCTAAAATATATTCAAATACTAAGAAGTGCAAACAATTAAAATTATTATTACAATAATGTCCAAAAATAAGACTTGAAGTCTCTATTTTATCAGATAATTTAGCACTTCTTTACTGCTCAAAGCTTAGTTCTGTGACTGCAATATCAGCTCTGAGTACTCAGCAGGTTTTGTCTCATACCACAGCTGTGTGAAGGCAAGAAAACAGAAGCAAGAAGCAAGATAGAAAGCACCTGGGCAACATCTTGTGGTGAATCATTTTTCCTTCCCAGCAAGTACAATTTATCGTATTTAAACTCTTGACCCTTGGGACATTATCCTCTCATTGTGCATCCTGAGAAAAATCTGGCTCCACCTTCTCTCTAGGACTGTGGTCACAATGCCTTTTACCCTTTCCTTCTCCATGTTAAACACTCCAATTCCTGCTCAGATGGCCTTTACTCCAACTCCCAAATCATCTTCAAGGCCCTCTGCTGACTCAGTATATCTCCCACACTCAGATGTTGAAATCTTTCCCTTTGTCAGTGGATCAGTGTGATTAACACATGATTGAATGCTAAAAAGACATTAAACAGTTCAGCCTTCTTAACATCATCTATTTATAGCTATCCTCTTACAATAAGTAATAGAGATTTTTTTCTGTTCTTGTTTTCCTCTTGATCCTAATATCCTTCTACACCATTTTTTGCTGCAGCCAGTGTCTCTTCCAGGTGAATCATTCAATTAGCTGGGTTATTTTTATGAGTTTGCCTTTTTAGATAGTTGCACTCATCTTTAATATGCACTCCAGTTTAAATTGTTGACTTCAGCCAAATTAGTTTCTTACTGCATTCTCTACATTTTTCTCCATATCCAGAAAGAATCTTTGCCCTTGACTATATGACTAGAGGGTTGCCGTGCTTCTTTAACTACTTTCTTCCCTTCAGTCTGTTTCACAAATCACCTTACAAAACTATAGGCTGAGTTAATTACAATCCATTTACCTAAAATCTGCTTGGTTTTAGTAACAGTTATTCTGCAGTCCCACTATGAGAATTGTGAGTAAATGAAACAGATTTTCAGCAGAAGACACACACTCTTATGCTGAAAAAATTAAGACCAAAAAGATGAAGTCCATTCATAATAAATAAATAAATAAATAAATAGATGCACAATAATTTAAACAAATAGGTAATCAAGTATAAGGTGAAAGTGAGTCCTACTTACCTCGCTCCCTAGTATCTTGTTCCCTTACTTGAACAGGTAAGTGATAGTAAGCTGCAGCCAGTGACTCAGGCAGCCTAAAGAGACAGGTGAAATATAGAAAATTAACATTTAGCATTCTCAACAAAAAAACTGAGTTTGGGAAAATCACTTTCATTTCTTTGAATTTGGCACTAAAATATCTTTAAAGTCTCAGGTGTCAGAACATTTAATATCAAGCAGGCACCGATTTGAAAATCACAGAGAATTTGAAAGGGCAGAAGAGAAGGGCTAGATTATTGTGCTGGGTTGACCCTATCTGGATACCAAGTGTCCACCAAAGCCTCTCACTCCCTTCCTCAACACAGAAGGGACGAGAAAACATAATGAAAGGCTCATGGATTAAGATAAATAACATGGAGGGTGCACTCATTCGTTACCACCATTAGCAAAACACATTTGCCTTGGGGAAATTAGTTTAGTTTGACAACAATTAGATCAGATTAGGTAATAAGAAATAGAAACAAATTTTAAAAAACACCTTCCTCCCACCCTTTCTTCCAGAGCTCAACTTTACTCCCAATTTTCTCTCCCTCTTACCCCACCACAGGGCAGAGAAATGAGAATGTGGGATGTGATCAGTCCAACACATGTTGTCCCTGCTGCTCCTTTCTCCCCAGGTTAAAGACTCCTGTCACTCTTCCCCTGCTCTTTCCCACAGGCTGCAGTTCTTCACAAACTGCCCCGGTGATGGCCACTCCTGCAGAGTGAAGTCCATCAGGATCACATTGTCCCTCGAGAGGTCACCAGTCCTGCCAGCAAACCTGCTCCAACACAGGCTCCTCTCTCCACGAGGCCACAGCTCCTGCCAGGAGCCTGCTCAATGCTGGCATCTTACAGGGTCACAATTCCTGTGGGCATCCAGATGCCCCAGGATGGGGTTCTCCACGGGCTGCAGGTGTTTCTCTGTTCCCCAGAGGCCCTCCAGGGGCTGCAGGGTCACAGCTGCCCCACAGTGCGGGCTGCACCGCAGGCTGCAGGGGAATCTCAGCTCTGGTACCTGGAGCACTTCCTTCTACTCCATCCTCACCAACATTGCTGTCTGCAGAGCTGCTTCTCTCACATATTCCCACTCTTCTCTCTGGCTGCTGTTGCACAGGGTTTTTTCCCTTTCCTAAATCTGTTATCCAGGAGGTGTTGCTGCTGTGGATGAAGTGTTCAGCCTTGGACAGGGGCAGATCCATCTTGGAGCAGACTGGCATTGGCTCTGCCAGACGTGTGGGAAGCTGCTAGCAGTTCCACACAGAACCCACTCCGTAACACCCCTGATACCTCAACAGTGCCATGCAAACCTAACACATTTATGTAAAAAAAAACAAAACACTAATAATAAATTTCAATCATGCATTGCTATGTATATTAAACATATCTCTGCATTACTTATAGAAACAGTCTCTGTTACTAACTGTGATGGATTCCTCCTAAAATTACTTCCTTGGTCTAGAAAAAAAAAAATATTCTTGACTGAGGAAAACCAAGAAATTAATAGGAAGTCATACCATTAAAATAGAAAATATGAATATTTTAGAATGAAACTAAAATATTCTAATAAAAATGCATTTAAAGCATAAAAGATTCAAGGTGGAAATTTAGCAAATAGAGTTACTGTATAAGAATAAGCTTGAGGTTTGGAATTAGAATGATCTGAAAACACTGAACACATTAAACATGACCTTTAAGATTCAATTTCGTGTGTAGGAGTGTAAGGCTAATGAAGTAGCTGAAAGATCATATTTGTAAGAAATCTGCTTGCTGGTGGAAGTAATGTTAGTATAGCCAATGCTGTTAACATTCTCCACAGTCAGCGGACTCTAAGGTCTGACATGTTATTTATTTGATAAAGTGTTTTATTCTCAAGCTCCATTTTTTTGTATTTCATTTGTTTTCTTTATGTTTTTCATGATTTCAAGTGCAAAAATTAAAAGGTGACCTTTTGACTAGGCCAAAACCATACACCCAAAACCTGGGGGAGCTTTTGGACTGAGAGAGAAGTTTTTGCATACTGTTGTTGCTCCTACATTGTTGGGAATGCTCTTGTTAGTATACGAACTGCAAGGCTGATATTAAAATAGCTATGTTTGTGAATATGAAAAAAAATGTTTTTCTTTCTATCACTCAGTGTGTTATATACATAATCTTTGCTCTGTAGTGTTTCAAATTTTTTTCTTCTGGCAAATAAGCCTCTGACTCCCACACCCAACAAGCAATTTGCTTCACAAGTGGAACCATATGGTTAAATAATACCCACAATAAAAAGAAACCATTAAAATTTTAAAATCTTATTGTGAAAATTGATATGAAAGTTGATTATTCAGATTGGATTTCACACTTGTTCCTCAATAAATCACTCCTATATTGTTTCCTTTATGTGGAAGGTCAGTAATGGGCAGTAGTCTGAGGGCTGTGCCAGGCTAGGAAGTTTCCTGGTGATGTCCTTGACTCAGGCCTGGACAGTACATTGGGACCTCTGTTCCCCTTCAAAGGGAACTGCCTACAGCTATAACCTGTCTTTTCTTTCTCTTGGAAGTGGTTGTAATAAGGGATGTTATATACTCCCTGATCTGACCCCTTATTTCTGCATTGTCCCAGTGAGGGTGTCCAAGGCTTTCATAGCAACTGATGCACATCTGTTTGCATCACATCTATTTTTTTAAGGGGTCCTCAATGCAGCACCAACTTCCTTTTATTCAAACTTTTCTTTGTAGTTTCTCCCCAGAGTCCCTATCTGATCTTTCCATGTTTACACAATTCACTTGAGACTGTGGAGGGGGAGTTTTATCCCTTCCTCTGCCTTTTTGTCCCTCAGCACACAGTATCCTACTTTTTCTTTAGCTCTTAATTGGATTTATGTCTCCTACCTCCCAGTTCTACTTTTCATTTGCATCCCTTTCTCCTGGTCTGTTCATCCTTGAATCTCCTGACCCTTCTTAGGGTCCCAAACATGGGCTACTCTTCCCAAACTGCTTACCCTAATCTGCTCTCTCTGGTACCCTAGACATTTCCAGCATTTTTATGTTTGTTTGTTTGTTTTTTTAAATCAAAGCTCTCTGTCCTCCTACTTAGAGGGCAGCAGCAGGAGAAGCACAGTGCATTCATGGAGGGGAGGCCACCACAGCCTCCCAGGAGACTGAGAGAGCAGCAACAGACAGGTTGGGTTCAGCCCAGGCAGCTGTGGGGGGGACACACACAGATGGGAGCTGCAGCATCCATACCACCACAGCCACTGCTGAGAACATGAAAGGGGAGATTATTTCAAAGTCCTGAGTATTTGCCAAATGTAGGCAGTTTCTCTCAGGAACAGTGAAATGTTCATCCTTGACAGAACTGGACTTGATCAGTTTTTCAGTTTGTGTGCCAAGCATCAAAGTTCCTTACCACAGAAAATATCTCCCTCTCCCCTTTCTTTCATTTTCAGAAGATGAAAAAAACACCTTAATGTTAAAATTTTATAAACAAAATAAAGCATTCCATCCCCAGAAGCTGGTAAGGAAAGTTCAGCCTTCACAGTCAAAGTTTGGCAAAATTAAAGAAAATGGAAACAGAGACCTGCAAAAGGAAATGTCAAGAAATGTGAATTACGAGTAGTCCTACTAATGTCTCCTGCACAAAAGAAACCACAGTAATTTCTCTAAATTTCCCCTCAGTTTTGCTTCATGTTATTTTTAGTACTTTTCCTTATGTCCCAAAGACTTAGATATAATAAAAACTCACTTAAGTACAGCTGTCAGTACACTTCTGTCAAGGGAGAGTGTAACAGTGGACCTGGACAAGACCTGAAGCTCTAAAGTAACACTAACTCTTGGATACAGTAGAAATATAAAAAAAACCAGCTGTACAGACCTAAAAGAAGCTAAGTGAAGCTAATTTCTGTTTTCACTTTGCATGTTGTGCTGTTGCCTTAAGGCTGAGTGACTCCTTGCTCCAGACAGGCCGACTGCCTCCAGCCCCATGGTACAATTCATTGCCTGTGAAACACAGGTGTTATTCCTGCAACAGCAGGAAATTTAATTCTGCTGTGGGTTTTATAACAGTTTACAACAGGGATAAATTCAAATGACTGTTTTACAATCCATTCCTATCTTTCTCTTTTTTTTTTTTTTTCTTTTGTCATTATGGAAGCTCTCCACCTTTAATATAGGATTTGCTGCTTCCACAGCCATTGAGCTAACTGTCCAGGCATAAAGAAATACCTTCCCTTTCTTGCTCTTATTCCTAGGATACATTTTTCCTTCTCTAATCTTCCCACACTGTTTTGTTTTTATTTTTCTTTTCTTTACTTCCTCAAGCATTCCCAAATGCCAAAAAAATTGTTGCCTTCTTATAATACTTTTGAAATTTCTTTGCAGTCATTTCCATTGCAATCCCACTGGTGCCCACTCTCTATGCTCACATGATACTTTCAATCAGTGAGCAAATTCTCCAGCTGTGCTGTTTAGCATGATGCAAAACAAGCTGATTAGTAACAGCAGCAACAGAAGTAATTAAAAAAGAAACACAAAATAATTTAAAAGAACCTCCTTGAAAACTGAGTTTTCCCTTAACACTTAAACCTTCTTCCTTTTAGGAAGAAAACCAACATTTTAGAACTAAATGTTTGTCTACATGTATCTGATGAACTCAAAATTCATCTTATGTGTACAAAACACCAGGAAAGTATAATAGTTACTGGATCTACTAAATTCAAGTAGATATGCGATACTATCATTATTATTTATATTTATATTTTTATTAAACCTTTTTTAAAGACAATATCTTATTTAATGAAAAATATTGAGCACTCAATATTCATTTATGAAACTATTTTCATGCGTAGCACATCATAAAGGACTGTAAAACAAAACAGATAAAAATATCAGTGACAGATAAAATAGAACTATACTAAACAATTATTTTGAGCAGACTGAAGCCCACACAAATTATGAAAACAGGATTTTATCAAACATCTTTAATTTAAATGCAGGAGCAGATGTGACCAAACTAAACTCATCAGAAACAACAACCAAAACATCCAGTCTCCAAAATGCAGAATAGGAGAGCAAAATTTTTTTTCCATTTTAAGTGAGCCTGCCAATGTGAAAACACAACAAGAGAAATCAATGGCAATACTTTCTATAAAGATTAGCGAGATTTGGACTGAACACTAAGTGGAAAAATGGGTTGTTAGGAGAAATTCTATAAATTCTCATTAAAAATGTGTATATGTATATATATATATATATATATATGATTTTGTAAAAACAATTCATTCTTTCCAGACACTAAAGATTTAATATCTGGATTCCTCATGATCACGTATTTATTTCCAAAGGTGCTCTGTACTGTATTGTATAGATTGTACAGATACTCTGCACTTTAACTACCCACTCTTGCTGTACTTTCTGAGAAGGGAAGTAAAAGGAATGACAGAATGCAGAGACATAAAATGGAATACACCCTTCAGGGTCCTCTTATAAATGTAGACATGAAAGAATGAATTGAAATATCTCTGGAACAATGGGTAAATCTGAGGTCCTACTTCCTGAAACCCTAATTTCTGCAATGGTTTTCACCAGTAAATGTCTAAATTAAAAAAACTTAACAGAGCAGAGTGGGGTAGTTACCTTCCAGTTGGGTGTTCTAGCTGGAGAGTTTGATCTTCTTTCCCCTGATCTCCTTTTGAGTCTCTGTGACTATATATTTCACACTGCTTTGTATGCAACATCAAGCACCAAACACAAGAAAGCCTGACTGCCTTTTAGCTATTATCCTCTTGTTGAGTTTTGAACAGAGTTTAAATCCCTGTTTGCTGAGTATTTTCCAAAAACAGATCTCCTATTCCCTTGCCAAGTATTTTGGATGTATTTACAAAAACAGATTGGATGGGTCTGGTATGCATTTGGCCTTAATTATCTGTACCCATTATGTGTTAGCATGTTCCCTGACACCTTTTGGCCAAGATTCCTTATGCTTAAGTCTAAAATAATCCAGATGTGTTTTCCAATAGTTAAAATAGGTTGGTTTTCGGTTTTTCCAGAAAAAAAATACGTGATAAAAGAGGTCAGCCAACAATATTCAGGTTATGACATGCCTCATGCTCTTCTGGTCAAATGGCTGTTCTTGGCTATTTTACTAAGTAGTACAGATATAGACAAAATCCCTCCATTATCACAGACAGTTTAACAGAAATAGGCTCTGGCTTCCTAAGCCTATTTCTTAATTCTAGCTTCACAGAGATACTGAATCTTACACAAGTATCTTGGTCCACACTGAGAGAGGATTTTATACATACCTGGGGCTTCCTGTTGGGTATTACAATCCAGACATTTAATTTCTCTTATCTAGTATGTAAGGTATCTGAGCACTTACTCCCACATTTTGAACCCCACTCCCTAAAGAGATGGGTGACAAAGTTTCAGATTTTATATTGCCAAGCTTTCTGAAATGCCCACGTCCCTCTTTAATTCTCAGCCAACGTATGCTGCTAGCTAAGCCTGAGTACGTGTAGCTTTGCTTCATTTCTCATCTGCTGTCATTCCTCCTCTTCTAGGTTAATTCCTTCCACCTCTCATTTCACATGCTAGTAGAAGCAGAATATCATCAGGCAGACATCACTGAGTATTTGTTTTTATCTCTTCAGTGTGGTTGGTTGCTGTTAACAAAATCCTCTCAGGGTAATTTGAGGAATGTCCTTTTACATCACCTTTATGCTCTCATACTCTGGAAATGAACTGTAAGAGAGTAATAAATAAATTCATACAAGATTGCTTTTTTTTTTTCCCTCCCAACAGATTGTGTAACTGCTTGTTTGGCTTGGGGTAGTATATACAAAACACCCCAAGAAATACTTACATAACAGAAAAAGAAGGACATATTCTAAAATCATCTGTTAAGGATAGGGAAAATGTGTAGCTGCCTTGGCCTACTTAGTGAATGTGTACTTCTGCATGTAGGAGCTGAGAAATGATGGGAGCAGGGGTTCTGATATGACAGCCCTATCCCTATCCTGAGCTGACTACCCAGTCTGGGAACCGAGGCCCCCTGCTCGTTAAAGCTGAGCTACCGGCTGAGCTCTGACGGTTATGTGCTGGTGCTCGGCCAAATTAAATCACACCTGTCTTTGCACTAAACCTTCTTGCTCTACAGATCACCTTGCAGAGGAAACCTGTCATTTTCAGCACTTGCCTGTCTCCTAAATATTTGTGCCAACTGCTGTGCTTCCAGCTTCCTTCAAAGTCTCACAGGACCCCGTGACCCCATCTGGGTCATTGATGGTTCCTTATTTGTAATTGTGGATACAAAAACTGCAGTCTCATATACCAAAGGTTTAACCTTTTAAATCTGTATCAGTGACAGTAATATGTGGAACTTTTAACTGATCTCAAAACACTTGATGAAGAAGGTCATCTGGCATTTGTTCCATTTCGTCACAGACATTTGAAGGTCACTTAAAATTATAGTGGCAGAAGTGGAAAAAAATACACATTTCCTGAGTTCTCCATCTCTTGGCATTCCCCATGAAAGGAAGATCTTTAATGTCTACCTGAAAAGTCACTCAGAGATGTGCAAAAAGAAAGCTGTATTTTAATAATGCCAGGGAAGACTAAAAGCTCTAATTATAAATGATGTTTCTTTCAGAACCACTGAGCTCTAAGGCTTGTTACTATACAGCCATTGAAAATATTTCAGGTTTATGAGCTAGAGCTGAGACTACTGGCTGTTCAGAATAACATTTAGTTTCCAGCTAAAATATTTTGCAGCCATGTAGGTAAAAATCTATGCAGAAACTTTATGTCTTCATACTTTGATGATACAAAAAGTCATTACAGATACTTTATGTCTTCAGTTAGATGCAGTCCAGAATGGCAATAGGTCCCTTAAGCATATAACATTAATGCAAATTGTACAGTCCTTTCTGGAAATGCATTCTGTGGCTTATAGCCAGATAACTGAAAATTTGTCATAGAATTCCAGTCAAAGGACTTGCCACCCAGATTCTCCTTTTCTTCCCCATAATAATCATCTCCCCCAGCCATGACCATGTTATCTCCAGTGTATTGCTAATCCTCAGAAACAAGGTTCCTGAATTGAGCAAATGGGGTGAGACTGAGAGAGTGAAGAAGCCCATGAATAAGAAATGGGGACTCTGAACCATCTGTTGTTAAAAGAGAAGACAGATAAGTTCAGATTTATGCAGGATAATTTTAAGTCCCATCTCTAAATTGTGCTTGATGGTTCATATTGTTAAGAACAGACTTGTCCTCTTGTATGCAGTTAACATCCCTAATTTATTTTGGGGATTACAGTTTCGGAATTGCTAAGCGACTCACAGTCAGCAGATGATGGAAATTGCATCAGTCCACGCTGTCCTCAAAACAGTAAAGTAACTGCTCCATTTTCTCACACCATTACAAAAGATCTGAAACATTATGACTTTAGCTTGAGGAGCTCTCAAATTACTGGAAAAAGATTTCATAATTTTTCCAGTAATGCTGAGCATTATTTTACCACTCTTATTACACACATAGTGGTGTATCTCAGTTTCTCTCTCCTAAACCATAAGAAATCTTAGAAAATATGAATGCATAAATATAAAATAATATAGTCTGTTCTTGGTTCTCTTTCCAGGTAATAGCGTTACTGACTGCATATTTTATTCTTTGACTTCTTTTTTTCATTACTTCAAAATTATGAAGTAATGCATCTCTGTCTCCATTTGTGATTTTTGAAAAAATGTTAACCTCTGGTCATTTTCCTGTATCATTTACAGTGTTTTCTGAAGACACGTTGGAATGACTACAGACACACATAATTTAGAAATACTTCAGGGATGCTCTCTGTACACAGAATAGAGTCCTTTGTATTGCTCAGATATTTTTTCCAACAGGGCAGCCAGATAAAGACAAGGTAGAAATGGCAGCTCCAAATTGCTCAAAAGAGATGTTCCCCTGCATTAAAGAAAACTACTGTCAGTCTCTGAAGATTTCCAATGCCACCAGAAGGATGACAAAGAGGCTTGTAAGAAAAAGAGATGCATTGCTATGCTAGCTTATCAGCACTAATGTATAAGTTGTTTTACAGGATGAAAACCAGAAAAGATTTCTGCTCCCGTTTCATTCTCCTACAAACCAAGTGGTAATATTTGCATGAGACTTCCTGCCAAAAGCTAGAATTTCTGAAACAGGAACCTTACAAACAATCCTAAAGTCAGTTAATCTCGACTATACAGGAATATATAAACTGTGCACATATGCATATGTGCATGTGTCTGTGTATGTGCTCTGTGATTAAGATAGTTTAAAATTGCCAAGGAAATTCTATTCACTAAACTAGAATTGACAAAATGCATGCAACATTTGTGAGTGCCAAGTAAGACTAATTACAATACTCAGCTGGTTTCCAGCAAATGAATGCTCTTAACCGTTTGTTTTTCAGCTGCCAGATGGAGTGGAATAGTCTGTGCCATGCATCCAGGGACAAGAAAAATACCTAAAAATTCAGATTTATGGTTGATTGGTTTTGACAAGTAGATTTTGCACCTCCTAACCATGTACATTTGTAATTCCAAATTTTAACTAAAGAAGCAACTATTTATTTCCTCAACTCTCTCCTAAGGTAAGGCTGCATGGTATAACTTTCTAAAAGAACGCACCAAATCAGGTATTTTTACTGATTGAATTCTAGATCGTACTATCTTGTATTTACCTGGTGGTATCGAAGAGTAAGAGCATTGCCTTAACCCCACAGTTGTTGGCTTTTACTGATACCAGGGCAGTGCAGTTTAAATAAAGTAAAAATGAGGGATTTGAGGACTGCTTGCTGTTTGGGGAGGGCTCGCGGTGCTACCGACTGTGCTTTGATCAGAAAATAGCAGGACCCAAAAGAGTTTATAAAAGACCATTTTGAAATGAGTGTTCTTAAGTTTGGAAGGAAGCATGGGGTTTAAATGAGCCCAGCTGGCAGCGCTGCTGAAGTGCCTTTCGCGTCTGGCTGGCATCGGGGAGCCGGGCTGTGATCCCCTGTCGCAGCTGGACAGCATCTCTGTTTGCTGGGGGAGTCAGCACCCCATGAGGAGTGAAGTGCAAATGAAGTTACTGCAGCCCGACCCTTTTCCTTCTGTAATTAGGGCAATCAGAGGGGAACAATACATTCGAAGCTGCAACTGCTGCTCCAGCCACATCCAGCTGATAGTTTGACACCTCCATGAAAGCAGCATGTTGCATGACATTTCTAGATTAATAAGCAACCCAGGAAACTCTCCAGAACAAATTGTGTGTGTCTGTGTGTATGTATCTACTCTTTATTTGCTTTTAAATAATTCTCCACGTAATTCAAATCCCTGATGTTTCAAATCCCTTTCCCCTCACTCCATGTATCAGCAGGAGCTTGTTATGTAAGAGAAGTAAAAAAATAAATAAATCTGTTTTTCACTGCTGGAGACTGAGATGTATACAAAATTTTACTATTATGTCCTTATTGCTTGATAAGGACATCTGCAAAATTTATGCAATCCACAAACATGAAAGATTTCATCCATCACTGATTTTACTGTGGTAGGAAACTATAAGCCCAGTGATAATAAATCAAAGAATTAAATGAATAATAATTATTCTGATACAGGTAGAGGCACAGACCATCCTAATTTCTTTGCATTATAGAACCAACTATCTCTGAGCTATTCAGAGAAATGAAACCCATGATGTTGAGAATTCCTGAACAGATGGGAGATCTCTAAGCATTCAATGTTACAAGCACGATTTAAGGGCAAGGGTTAGTTTGCTTTGTATTTAAAGTGCAGCTGCAAGACCTGTCAAAAGAATTCTTAGATGTATTTTGTATTTTTCTATGATATCCAGTGATATTCAGATGACTGATGCCATTTCTCCTAGTGAAATCTGAACTCTTTTCGATTAAATGTGAATTGGTGTATATGCATTTAATAAAGACTACCTGAAAGTCTATCTCAAAACCACCACCAATCAAAAAAAGGTTGCTGAGGATTTTCTTCTCCTTTCATAAGTGAATAAATGGTTTATGATGTCTTCCTTCATCAATTTTTTGGTACAATAATTATTACCTTTACCTATGGGCTCTGAACATCCTATACCTAAAGTTTTCCTTTTGTTTCTCCCTAGCCCCATTCTGCTTGAGCACAAAACAGTCCATGTCAAGGTTGACTTAAATTTGTTTCTTTGTGCCATCTGGTGGAGATTATTTGTAAATGCACAATTGCTTTGAAGTGTTTCCTCCAGGTTGCATTGCCAGGATTTTCTTTTCTTTCTCTCTTTTTCCCCCCCTCCCCCTCCCACAAAACAGTAATGGCTCTGGAACAACTTTAGCTAATGTGAACGTTTATGTATGCACCACTTAAACAGAATGCTACATTTTTTATTTCATTTAAAAATAGAGAAATACAAAAGTTAAATTTGCACCTTGAAGAAACAATTTTAAAGCAGGGTGAAAAAATTGTTCTGTAGTTTGCAGACAACTCTGTATTTTGAGAACTGCCCCATTTATTTCACAAGATTTTTCTGTAATACTAGTCCAGGGAAACCAACTTATGTTATGTTTAAAATCAAAAATAGATAAGGCTTTCAGGAAAACTTCGCAGAAGTCATGAAAATGCTACAGTTTCTCCTTTGTAAAAACAAAGCTAACTGTATTTCTTAGTTGTTTCATAAACTTTCATGTAGAAAAATGCAGAACTAATGAAATGAATAATATATTGAAAATTAAGTTTATGTAGCTTACTGAAATATTTTACATAACGTCAGTAATTGAGAAAAAAATATTCTTCAAGTTAGACTTTTCCATTTGCTGCCGTATTTACATTTATATAAATATGATTTTCTCCTCTTAAACTGACCACATAGTATATGTCCATCTCTATTTCTCCCCACAAAACTACAATTTCATTACTTTTATTGGCATAAGTTATTTTTACTGGTCATAATGTTATGAAACTTAGTTTCTAATAAGAAACCAGAAAGTGTCAAAATTACTTCCTTACACACACATACAATCCTTCAGGATTTAAAATTTTCCTAA